CACATCATTTTCAAGTGCATTCATTAGAATAATCTATATGTAGAGTCATCAAGCAAGTCTCAAATTTGACAAGGTATAAATCACATAGGCGATGTTCAATGACCAAAATGGAATTAAATTATAAATCAAAAATACAGCCATCAGGAAAACCTCAATTATTTGGAAATTAAACAACACACTTCTAAAGATTCACTGGTTCAAAGAATAAATCACAACAGGAATTAGAAAATATCTGAACTAGATGATAATTCAATGATCGAAGCTTCAACCTTCACAAACTACAAAAGAGAGCAAATTAAACTCAAAGCATGTTGAAACTTTTTAAGATGGAACAAAACTCAATGAAACAGAGAACGAAAATAAGAGAAAAATTCAGTGAAGTCAAGAGCTAGTTCTTTGAAAGGATCAATAAAACTGGTAAGTGGCTAGGACGACTGACCCAGGAAAAAGAGAAGACACAAATTACCAATATAAAAAATGAGAGAGGATTCAACACTACCTATCACACAGTCATTAAAAACATAAGGGAACATTATTAACCATCAGTTATGATAATCTCAAGAAAATGGGCAAATGTCTTGAAAGGCAAAACTCCAATCCAAGAAGAAACAGAAAATTTGAACAGCCCTATAGCAATCGAAGAAAGCCACACACACAAACGCCCTGGTCCGTGTGCCTCTACAGGTGAATTCTATCAAGCGTGTACAGAAGCAGTAACTTAATCCTATTCAAACTCTTCCAGAAAACTGAAAAGAAACATTTTTAGATGCATTGTATGAGACCAGATAAAACATCACAAGAAAAATACAAATATCCATCATGAACAAAAAAGCAAAAATTCTTAACAAAATATTAGCAATTTATTAAAATGATAATATATCATAACCAACGGGGATTTGTCCTAGCCATGTAAGATTAATTTTATTAACACTCTAAAGTCTATCAAGATAACTAACCATGTTAATAGGATGAGTAAAACTAAATGATCATTTCAATAACATGGAAGAAGCATTTAATAAAATTTAACAGATTTTCATAATCAGGGCTCTGAGTAAACTAGGAAAGGATAAGAATTTTCTCAACCTGATTATGGGCTTCATAAGTTGAAGCCCTAATCCCCAGTGAGATGACATTTGGAGACAGGGTTTTTTAAGAGGTAATTAAGGGAAAATGAAATCACAAGGGTGGGACCCTAGTCCAGCATGACTGATGTCCTTATAAAGAGAGGAAGAGCAAGCAGGGATGCCTGCATGCAGAGAAAAAGCCATGTGAGGACAGAGCAAGGAGGCCGCCATCTGCAAGCCAAGGAGAAAGACCTCAGGAGAAGCCAATCCCTAAGAGTCAAAGCTAAAACTACAAAACTCTTACAAGGAAACGTAGGAGGGAATACTTCATGGCACTGGACTTGGCAATAGTTTCTTGGATATGAAAACAAGAGCTCTAGTGACAAAAGAAAAAATAGGCAAAGCCGAACTATATCAAAAATTAAAACTTCCATGTATCAAAGGACATTATCAGCAGAGTGAAAAGACAACCCAGAGAATTGGAGAAAATATTTCAAAATCGTGTATCTGATCGGGGTTAATATCCAGAATATACAAAGAACTCCTACAACTCAACACCAGCAAGAAAAAACAATCTGATTAAAAAATAGGCAAAAGATATAAATAGACATTTCTCTGAAGACAAAATACAAATGGCCAGTAAGCACATAAAAAGATGCTCAACATCATTAGTCATTAGGGAAATGAAAGTCAAATTACAATTAGATACCATCTCATACTCATTAGGATGGCCAAAAAAAAAAAATCCATGGAAAATAATAAGTGTTATGGTAAGGAGCCCTTGGGTACCACTGGTGTGAATGTAAAACGGTGCAGGAGCTATGGAAAGCAATATGGAAGTTCCTTAAACAAATTAAAAATAGAACTACCACATGACCCAGCAATTTCACATCCAGGTAAATCTCCAAAAGAAAGAAATGAAACAGGATCTTGATGAGGTATTTTCACACCCATGTTTGTGGCCACATCATTCACAATAGCCAAAAGGTAGAAGCCAACTTAAACATCCACTGATGGATGAATGGATAAAGAAAATGTGGTTTATATATACAATGGAATATTATTCAGCCTTAAAAAGGAAATCTTGTCACATGCTATAACATGGATGAACCCTGAGGACATTATGCTAAGTGAAATAAACCAGTTACAAAGAGACAAATACAGTATAATTCCACTCATATGAGGTATCTAAAGTAGTCAAATTCAAAGAAACAGAAAGTAGAATGGTGGTCACCAGGGGATGGGGGTATGGGAAACAAAGAGCTGCTGTTCAGTGGGTAGAGTTGCAGTTCTGCAAGATGGAAACATTCTACAGACCTGCTGCACAATGAAGTGAATATGGGTAAAGCTACTGAACTTAAAGACGGTTAAGACTAGCTTTATGTTACGTGTATTTTACCATAATAAAAAGAAATTTATAGGTGTAAACACCTACATTAGAAAAGGAAAAAAGGTCTCAGATCAATAACCGAAGCTTCTACCTTAAGAATCTAA